AAACAGCAAAACTCGAATAAAAGTAGTATTTTTTTGCAACAAACTCTAATAAATCAGGAAGCCACTTTTATCACGAATAAATATGAGTAAAATAGTCCTATTATTTAATTTGTATTGATAATTTTTTTTATTAAGAAACAAACATTTGCTTAAAATATTTTTGGAATTTTCAGCCATTCTGAAGCTAAAATTTATGATGAAATTTGTTAAACTAAAATCAGTTGTATATTGTCTTCTGAAAAAAGCATACACTTAAAATTACTAAATTATTTATAGATAAATAATAATTCAATACTTCAGTTGCATAAGACAAAAAATGAAAAATAGTTGTTTTTTGAAAAAAACATTAAAGAAGATGATTCACACCATATTTCGTTTTATTTTAAAATTATTTGCATGGTGTAACAGAGCGGTATAGAAATAAGTCCACTCTGTAGACTATCAGGTTTCTTGGGATCAATTTATGGCTATATTTCATGTTCCATTTCCCAATCAATTATGTTCATCGACGTTAAGCATTTAACTATTTTTTTAATCGTTATCAACAAAACATAATGCGGAAAATATCTTTTTATTATAAGGATAAGACCGGAAAACGACGCTCATGACAATTTGAATAATTTTAGGTTAACATACTCAAGTAACATTACATAAAATCGTAAGTATTGTAGAAATTTAAGGAAATTATCAGNCTGATTTTAGTTTAACAAATTTCATCATAAATTTTAGCTTTAAAATGGCTGAAAATTCCAAAAATATTTTAAGCAAATGTTTGTTTTGTAATAAAAAAAATTATCAATACAAATGAAATAATAGGACTATTTTACTCATATTTATTCGTGATAAAAGGGGCTTCCTGGTTTATTAATAATAATAACAACAATAAACATTTCTAAACAGCAAAACTCGAATAAAAGTAGTATTTTTATTGCAGCAAACTCTAATAAATCAGGAAGCCACTTTTATCACGAATAAATATGAGTAAAATAGTCCTAGTATTTCATTTGTATTGATAATTTTTTTTATTACAAAACAAACATTTGCTTAAAATATTTTTGGAATTTTCATCTATTTTAAAGTTAAAATTTATGATGAAATTTGTTAAACTAAAATCAGTTGTATATTGACTTCTGAAAAAGGCATACACTTAAAATTACTAAATTATTTATAGATAAATAATAATTCAATACTTCAGTTGCGTAAGACAAAAAATGAAAAATAGTTGTTTTTTGAAAAAAACATTAAAGAAGAAAATCCACACCATATTTCGTTTTATTTTGAAATTATTTGCATGGTGTAACAGAGCGGTATAGAAATAAGTCCACTCTGTAGACTAGCAGGTTTCTTGGGATCAATTTATGGCTATATTTCATGTTCCATTTCCCAATCAATTATGTTTATCGACGTTAAGCATTTAACTATTTTTTTAATCGTTATCAACCAAACATAATGAAGAAAATATCTTTTTTTTTATAAGGATAAGACCGGAAAACGACGCTCATCACAATTTGAAAAATTTAAGGTTAACATACTCAAGTAAAATTATATAAAAACGCAAGTATTGTAGAAATTTAAGGAAATAATCAGATTTTCTGGATTAACTCCATGCATTTTTTAGTTTGGAAATAGATAATTTTTAAAAATGATAAAATGAAATAATATGTAAAGAAAATAATTTCTATGCAATTTATCGACTTTAAGCATTTAACTATTTTTTTCATCGTTATCAACAAAACATAAAGCAGAAAACATCTTTTTATTATAAAGTAAAGATAAGACAGGAAAACGACACTCATGACAATTTGTATAAATTAAGTTTAACTTACTCAAGTAAAATTATATAGAAACGTAAGTACTGTAGAAATTTAAGGAAATAATCAGATTTTCTGGATTAACTCCATGCATTTTTTAGTTTGGAAATAGATAATTTTTAAAAATGATAAAATGAAATAATATGTAAAGAAAATAATTTCTATGCAATTTATCGACTTTAAGCATTTAACTATTTTTTTAATCGTTATCAACAAAACATAAAGCAGAAAATATCTTTTTATTATAAAGATAAGACAGGAAAAAGACACTCATGACAATTTGAATAAATTAAGTTTAACTTACTAAAGTAAAATCATATAAAAACGTAAGTATTGTAGAAATTTAAGGAAATAATCAGAGCTTCTGGATTAACTGCATGATTTTTTTTAGTTTGGAAACAGATGATTTTTAAAAATGGTAAAATGATAAAAGGAAATAATGCGCAAAGAAAATGAATACTATGTAAAATAAAATTTATGATAAAAAAATAAACGAATAATACATAAAATTAAGTAAAATGAAGTTATACAAAAACGTTGAACTGACAGAAGTTATCGGAAATAATAAGATAGCACATTATTTTGGGATAATATTCACCTTGAATTTTCTTGATCAAAAATGGAAAAATTATGAGATTGATGAGACAAAAATTTTTAACACAAATACTATACTTTACACTGTTAGACTTTCTCGGGAAAGATTTATTAAATTACAATTTATTTAATTGTTATTTTACGATATCCAAGCAAAGAAGTATAATAATTATGAATAAAATGGTATTTAAACTGTTAACTGCGAAAAAAACCGTTTATTAACTGCTTTCATATAACATGGTTAAACAACTAGAATTTTATCACAGAATTAGGCCCACCTAATAAAAAGTTTTATTTCAATTCATTTAAATTATATATGTAAAACAATATTTCCTCTATTCCCATTATCAGATGAAAAGTTTCCAGTGTAATACACTCCTCAATTTGTGACTCTGGAGTATTAGAGTACGATGAACTCATTCCAGTATAATTGGTATCACGTTAAAGCTGACTAAAACAAAAATGTCTAGTATTTCCACTATCTTAGGATCGGTGGAAGAATCAGATAAACTAATTAAACTACATTCGATGGTTCATTTGATAAAAATCAACTCAAGCAGCACCTAACTTCAATGTTAAATTTCTTTTATACGATTTTGAAACCAAGGTTGTAAATGGCCCAAATAAACCATATAGTTTTGTTTTAGTTGTTTTTTAACTGTTTGTAAGCGGTTTCAAAACCGTAAAAATAAAAAAAAAATTTCTTTACCGTAAACGTATGGTTAGATAGTCAGCTGCCTATCATGTTACCGTAATTTTAAAAAGAAAATTCTAACAGTATATAAAATAAAATAAAACGACTGAAAAACATAGGCCCGACTAAAGTTTTCTGAATTAATGAGAAATCAGATTTTTCTGGGGAAAATTACCGTGAACTCTCTGAACCAAAAATAGATGATTTTCGAGATAGATAAAAAGCGAGGAACCATTAAGATGTGGGTGCGGTTGGCACTTAAAAGAATAATTGTTAAGCAAAACACTTTCCTTGCTATTCGTGTCCAAAGCATATTTAGATTCGCATGAAATAGCCATAATCGTAAAGATGTTTTACTTTTTTTTTCCTTAAGAAATGTGTAACTTTTCCCAAACTAGCAATTTGAATAACATAAGCCTTGCAAGAAATGTGCTGTACAGCTAATATCAAGGATAAAATATCAATTTTTCGTCAGAATAAATAAGGTAAAACATAAATCACGCACTGAATTTCTTCAGTTAATTAAATAAGTCTGTTTTTAAATTATAATCCTGAATGTTATTAAACTGAATTGATGGATTTCTACGGTGGTATTTGAAGTAAAAAATAATCTTCATTTAAACAAAACTATCAATCCCAAATGTCGAATTATTTCGTTTTTGTATGTTGAACATGTATCTATTTTAAATTACCATAATTTTGATTTTCAAAAAAAAAAATCCTGTATTTTATTATACAAGTGGAACTAGACTGGAACATTTAAAAAGTCACTACAATTCATAAGTTGCTTTCCAACTCTTTCATTTTCAAAACTTTATTATGTAACACACTTCTCTTTAATTTATAGCATTGCTGTTACATGCGCTGAGAAAAAAAAGTTATGATCAAAACAATTTGAATATGGTTATATTTAGCATGTTTCCGGCTCAAAGAAAACACCAAAAAACTCGGTAATTTTTACCGAACCGCTTTGACAGTTATTTCGGTAAAATTAATAATAAATCATGGTTTTATAACCATGCTGTTTGGTGATAAATTTTGTGAAATGTGGTAGTTTTATCACAATACCTTAGATAATAGCATAAAAACCATTTATTTACTTCCATATACTTTTCAGTTTGTTTTATAATTTATTAAATGAGTGGTAAAATAATAAATATAACCTTAAAGCTAATTTCCTCCAAACCGATACCATATTAATTGAGAAATTAAAAAGAGAATGGTTTAAATGTTTTTTAATATGATGTTTATTATTATAATGTTTTTTGTTATGTATATTTCGGTTTTTATTATTAAAATTACTTTTTTAACAAAAATACCATTACCATACACACCTCGTGTAGAAAATTTACAGTTTGATAAGAAAGATGAATTTTTTTCTAGAAATTAATAATGGCATAAAACCATTTATTTGCTTTCATATACTTTTCAGTTTGCCTTATAATTTATTAAATGTGTGGTAAAATAAGAAATATAACTTCAAAGCTAATTTCCTTCAAACCAATACAATATTAATTGAAAAATTAACAAGTGAATGGTTTAAATGTTTTTTAATAAGATGTTTATTATCATAATGCTTTTTGTTATGTATATTTTGGTTTTTATTATTAAAATTATTTTTTTAACAAAAATGTCTTTACCATGCACTATGCCAGCACCATAAAATTTACAGTTTGATGAAAAAGATTCTGGAGTTTTTTCATCTTTTACAAAAATAAACTGTTACTTTTTCTGTTTTGTTATACTAATTTCAATTATTAAGTAGTATTTATTCAAAGTTAAAAAAAAATTAAAAAGTGCATGATTGTAATAATCTGCATCTTCCTCACTTAAATGTAAGAAAACATATTTGTTCACATTTTATTTTAACATAATAAAACTTTAAACTAAAATTCACTTACCAGTAACGTCAAGAAATATTTCTTCTGATTTCACTGTATTGAATTGGCCGTTGATAGTGTTGGATGCCTGGCAGAGGTAAATTCCCTGGTAGTTGTAAGTGACGTTCTGAATATAAAATGTAGCGTTATTTGTCCGCTCTGACCAAACAACTGCATCCCCTCCTATTCGCTGAAACCACGAATATCTGAAAGAGACAGAATTATATATACTTCCAAGGATTTCCTTGTATATTTATTCCAAAAAATAAATCAGCAGTAAAACATGTAAAAATATGAAAATAAAGTTTCAATATTCCAAGCATATTTTTTTAACCTGAAATATCTATTTTTGAATTAATGTTTAACTCGCTCTGTAAAAAATGGAAGCTCAAATATCACGAAACTTTCTGCGTTTTTGACGAAACCATTTCATGGTATATGCACCAACTAAATATAAAAGTGACAAAATAACTATCACTTCCTCGAGAAAAGGAATTTCTTGAAAATTATATAAATATTTTGTAATTCTTTTTTTCTACAAAAAAAGAAACTCGTAATGCTTAATGTATTTAAACCTCCATAATAATCATGTCACCCAAACAATGGGATAAGGGCAGAGAAATAAACTACACCTATACCCGAAGCGGAGTTCGAACCTAAGAACTTCCTGATAAGTGGTCATATGCTTGACCACCATGACAGTTCTACTTATATGAACCCTTTACTTTCACTTATATATCCATTCTAGTTCTAAACACTTTTACTTGTTAATAATCGAAATTTCAATTTTTTCAACCTAATTTTTACATTTTTTGCACATAAATTGATCAATTATTATTTTAAACTGATGAAAACAAAAAAAAAAATGATTTTGATAGGTTTATAAAGTTAACTTTAACATAGTTAACGAAAATTTTGTTTTTTTGAATAAGTAAAGTTTCAAATTTCTCAAAACTTTTTCTCAACATTTTTTAACATATATGGTAGGTTGGTGGTTGGTTGGTACTAATGCCACTTGCCACACGGGCAAGCCTACTTGGTGAAACCGAGCAAATTTAAGGCAGAGTGTGCGATTCTTGCTTTTCAGTGGCGCCATCTGTGGCCAAGAATTCGACTTCCGTCACAGCATACGTCAAACCTGTTTACAAGGAGGACCCATTCATACATCCATTCATTCATCCACAGATCGTAATTTTGATCTGAATCAGAGAACGATCGGTCTCCAATCCAGTACCTCAAGAGGTATTGATTTGTTATGGGAACATGGAGAACTTTGCGACTCAACAGAATTTTTGCGTGCACCAGTCAACAACTACACGGGGAGTCTTCAGCCGGCGGGGTTCGAACTCTCAGACATGGGCCCAGCGCCCTACCGACCAGGCTGTCATTAAATAAAAATTATAACAAAGAAGAAAAAAAATAAACATATCAATTAAAACGATCAAAATTTCAAGTTTTTCTACAAGTTTTCATTTACATCGTTTGAATAATAATTAATCAATCATTAAATAAAAATGATAATTTAAAAATGAAATGAATATCTTCGATGTTAAGTTTAAGACAGAAAATTATTTGCTCTTTATAGAAAACAAAAAGCATAATTATAAAGCAGTTTTGCATATTTCTTTCTTAAATGAAAAATAATTAGTTGATTAGAAATTCACTGAGAAATCTTGGGGAAAACCTAGAAACATCATTAGATTTCGAAGATTCGTTTAAAATTGCTCAAAATATCTATTCATTAGTTCCTCATTAAGATGATTTCTACTATATTTAAAGATCAAGCAGTAGTTGAAGAAACTAATTAGAAAGAAATATTTCTCTACTTAATATATTCAATTCTGCTTAATATATTGTACTCACAGTCAGTCAAGAACAGTTAAAAAGGAAGCAATTACTGCGTTTTATAAATGAATCAATTTTCGATTTAATATATTTATATGTATGTAAAAAGATCTTCAAAGTATGGAGATATTTTAAGTAATTCCAATAGAATTTATAAACTGATATATCTTAATCGTGAATCACATTGAGACGACAGTTCAAAATTTAAATGATATATCAATGCTTTGCCTAATTTTAAAAAGAAAGATTGATGCTAATTAAAATCATTTTATGGAACTAATTTATTTTATTTCGTTTAAAAGTTTATAATAAATTTTCGATCAATTTATGAGTAGCGATCCTTAAAAAAACAGCCATTAAAAAGTTTTTAGTGTCCATCTTTATTTTTGAAATTGATGCTAGAGTAAATTTTGTTCGTATTATTTTATCATTTTGACCAAGCAATGATTTCCGATAGCATTCCTGAAAAAAAATTTGATTCGGTCCCTGTATTTCATTTTAAAAATGATTGATACTTTTCGAAAAGCATTATTAGATCTAAATTCAGGTTTAAAAATTTCCATTTATGATTTAGAACCAAATACTACTTTCTATCTGCTATGACTTGACGTATCATAGGGACAGTAATACAATTTATTTTTATTTCCACATCCATACTACGAGTATCCACTAAATGACTGATCCATTTTGAATGTGAATAAAAAAAACATGGTTTGAGGTAAAAATGATCGCCAATTCTGGATTGTTATTAGAAAAGCAACAAATTTTAAATAATGCATTGTGTTAAAATTGGTTCCAACCTGCCGTTCCAGACAGAACGTCTACTGGTTTTTAGTTAAGCGTCATTGATATACGTTCGTGCTAAGGCTTGTTAAGCACAGACGGCGCATTCTCTTCAGCAATGAATAGTTCTAGCAAATTATAGTGTTGTGAAAACCAGACGAGGTTTTCAACGAGAATTTAATGTGAGTAAAAAGTTGGAAAAAAAAACATGACAGCTTTTTTTTTTTATTTTTTATTTTTTTTTTATTTTTTTATTTTTTGCAAAATTTTAACGGTTTGGAAGGGCGAATGACGATCGGAAATGAAAAGTAAGGCCACCGCATTCATCAATCAATTGCTGAGGATAATTTTCAGGCAATTTAATAGACGATTCAAAGGCGGGGTCGGTTGTCTGGCAGAAAAATTGCAACTAAGTGTGGACTACAAAAATGCTTGACGCATAAAATCACGAAAAAGAGTTTGCACCTGAAACCATTCAAGATTCAGGCTTGTCAAACTCTCAATATTTGCACCAACGAGTCCTCTTCATGAACGTATTGTTTCAAAAGATAGATGGTAGTGATATTGACGCTGGATCCATTTAATTTTTCAATGAAGCCTACTTTTATATATCGACGGCTTTAAGAATAAACAAAATTGGTGGTTTTGGGGAAAGGAAAATCCCCAAATTATCCGTGCATTGCAAAAAGTCACGGTATGAGCAGTTCTATCCTCGAAGAAATCATTGGGCCTTTTTTTCATAAATCATACAATAACTGCAGCACGATATCTTGATGTTCTGTATGGCTATGTTGCCATACACAATACCTTGGTGGTTTCATATGATTCATCGCGGTTCATGCAAGATGGTGCTAGACCCCATCGAACGTCTGCAGTATTTGATTTCTTGGATGAACATTTTGATGTTTGTGTCATTCCATTAAACCACGTGATTCATATTGAAAAAGGAATAACTAGTCTCCCTATTCGCCGGATTTGAATCTTTTTCATTTATTTTTTTTCTCTATTGTCACTTGAGAGAGGAGTTGTATCACCAAAAGTTCCAAACTCTTGCGGACATCAAACATTATGTGTGTAATACATGTGAGTTCATCTCGTCTGAAATATTGTCATGAGTAAGTGCAAATATTGAAATATTGTCATGAGTTGTTTTGATACTACGACAAATTATTGCTTCAAAGGATGGTTATTTTGAAAGTATTGTTAATTAGTTTTAAGATACCAACACTGCCTAGTAGCGAAATTTGGAACTATTTTTAATACAATGTATTTTTTTTTAAATTTCTAATAACGATAAATATATGAATATTTGTATTTATTTGAAAAATTTTCTTTGAACAATAATGAACAACACTCAAAAACAACAATCAAGTTAAAGTTTATTTCTGGTTTAATTTTTATTTCTGAAAATAAATATTATTTTTTTAAAAAATGATTTCGTTCGTTGCCTTTCAATTTTGTCTAAAAATCTTTTTTTTTATTACATCAGATCCAGCATTTCTTAAATTCAATTCTGCTCCCACTTCATCTTACTTTTTTTAAGTAAATGATATTTTGAGAAAAATATTATTAAATTCTAGTTCATATCCAAAATTTACTCCATTTTGTTAACAAATGTTAACTTTAAAAATTATTTTTAGAAATAGAAATGTAAACTAATTCTTCCATTTCTATCTTATTTGTTAAAATAAGATTAATATGATAATAAACATGTGAATCTTTGTATTATTTTCTTTCATTTAAGTCTAAAAATAAGTTTTGATAAATTTTGCACTAGCTTTCTTTAAAAACTAAAAAAAATCTATTTCCGTGTTTATTCTTCTTTTATTGATGATTACTGTTTACAGAAGTATATTTTGTTTTATCATTCTTTTATTTGGACTTAATAACTTTCGATTACTTACGAACAATCATTCTTTAAAAACAAATGTTATTTCAATATCCATGGTAATATTTGAAAAAAACATTGATATTTTGGGGAATTATGAACATATATATTTTTATTTCAATCCAAAATCTACTTGCGATCAATATAGAACTAAGTCTTTTTTTTTAAAAAAAAAAGAAAAAAAAACTTTTTTTACGTTTCTTATTATCTTTAAAAAAATTTGATTTTTTGAGAACTTTCTGATTTGTTGTGATATATTTTTTTTCATAGCCAAGGAAAAAAATTACTTTCAATTGATTTAGAAGTAACCGGTATTGTTTTTTTTCGTTTTGTTTTTTTATTTACTTTAAAACCAAATCAATTTTTATGATTCGATATTTTCTAGCCTATTTTTTCTAGCTCTATATCAATTCTAAATTTTCTAGCCTGGAAAAATAATATTATGAGAAAAATGTTTTATTTGTATTATTTTTTTTTATTTCCGTCAAGCAATAATACATTACAAAACACCTGTTTCGGAAAGAAACGTATTTAAATTTGAAAAATAACACGAAGCGCATGCCGCATTTTCAAAAGAAATATTTTCTCAAAATATCTCGATACATTTTTCTTCAAATAAATTGGTTTTACAAAAGCTGTGACGATGCAAAACACCTCGTTATATTCGATTGGGAAGAATCCTTTACGTTT